ATCTATTTTTAAATATATGGACCCCAGTTGCTTATCGAGACATTATGCCGCCCGGGGTGGACTTTGAGTTTTCCCGTTTCCTCCCTTCCCCCCCCCCCCACTTTAAAAAACATAATGCTTTTTGCTACAGTGATAATTTTAACACTAGGTGAGCTTGCAAATAGCGCCACTCTTGTTTACGTCCCGCCCAAGGGTTATGTTAACTGCTTATAGAAAAGTGCTGGTAAATCACATTTGGCGGAAGGGTGTTGGGGGGGGGGGAGGAAGAAATCAAGAGCGCCGAAGGCTTCCGAGCCAAACCATAGTGCGGACAGGGGTCTGGGGAGAATTGTCCATTCTGGATTCTTTTCATTTAAATTTTTGCAATATATCCTTAAGGGTGTCGTCGGTTCCATGTTGTATTTCTTCCTCTTTATTATTGCCATCGTACCTCGTGCTCAATCATGTGGTCCACGGGGGCTCAAGATGCCCCAGCCCCGGGCGTACTACAATCACTATAATCTAAGGACCATGTATAGACATGCTACGTGTCCATATATTGACTGTACCCAGAGCCTCAAGCGCCTTAATCCGATCATGAATCATTCCAAAGAAAATTCGATTGAAAACATCTGATAATTTTCAGAGTCCTAATCGCAGTGATGCATTTACTATAAGACCAAACGAAACCTCAGCGAGCAAAAAAAAAAAAACAAAACAAAAAAACAACAATAAAAACAATATAAAAAATTAAAATAAACATTAGCAATAATCTAGCATTCGAGAAGACAAGTTGAATATAATAGATCATAAGTAGGTAAGTTAATATAAGCCATACGGGACGGAAAAAAAGGAAAAGTAAGTCCTCGGCGATTAGTTGTAACAAGGAGTGGGCGGAGAAAAGATTGAACATGTCAAGGAGAACACGACATTAAATTTTCTAGGGCAGGGATTCTAAACTTTTTTTTTTTTTTTTGCAGCATTGCATCCCCTCTCAAATTCAAAACATTTCCAGTAACCCCCGTCCCCAAACCCCGTATTGTGTGTACGGAGTTGCTGTAGGTACCCGGGTACTTATAGCAACAATTGGCTATTAGGAGGGCTTTAGGCTATTGTTGAGACTAATACCCATGACGTCATTTGCGTGTTTAATAAATATTTGTGCATGAGTTATTCCCCTTTATTCATTTTATAATTGGCGGAAGTGATGATGACGTGTTTCCTATTAAAATTTTAATTGGTTGATTATTTATAATTTTAAATTATCATTGGTTGGCTACCATCTTTTTCAACATGTTAGCCTAGTGCCGGCAGTTGTGCTCCTATTATTTGTGCATATTTTTTTTAATTTGGAACCTGTAATAAAGTGTGTAAAAGTGTATTTCATCAAACTGTAAGTTGGGTTTTCATTATTTCTTGGTTTTATAATTATTTGTGGCTGTTTTTTTGCCATTTATGTGTTTTTTACGGCTGCCAACCGTTGCTGCTTTTTTTTTATATTGGGGAGGGGTTCTGGGGAGGGGTCCCCCTCCCCAGATAATTTATTTGTTTCTGATTTTGGAATTTACAGTGGGGGAGGGGTCTGGGGGAGGGGTCTCCCCTCCCCAGTCGTTTCATAACACGTTTTTTGCACTACATTTTGGCCGCCATCTTGGTTGACACTTCACGTGACTTCACGTGGAGCGTCAACTGAGATGGCGGCCATGATGGGAAACCCCGGGTATCAATCTCAACATTTAGGTTATGACGAATACTTCCTGTTGGTTTGCCATCTTAAAGTCATTATTATCAATCGAGAAATGTGTAATATTTTTTAAGACTTTCGCATAGCGTTCAAGAAACACGAAGAACAATGTGACGTACAGCTTATAGCAAGTAAGAATACGTTTATGTTTATAATTTTATTGTATTTTTAAATTCTATTTTAAATATAGTTCTTTAATCATTAAGATGACATCAATCAAGATTCAAGATCAAAGTTGCTTTTTTTTTTTGGCGGCAAATCGGCTACTGTCTTATCTGTAATTGTAATGAAAAGTTTGGCTGCGGCTAATCGGACCCGGTATCAAAAGTGAATACTTCAATTTTAATTCACCGCAAAAATTACTATTATTCACACTTCTCATTAAAAAAAAATTCTTTTGAATAAAAACAATTCAGAGAGATCAGCCCGCGGCCGCCATCTTGGTTATCGTGACCCACGAACTTATGTCCTAAATGTATCCCTAAACTAACCTGAACACTAAATGTATCCCTAAACCTAACATGAACCCTAAAATGTATCCATAAACCTGATCAATCTTAATTAGCCTAAAAAACTTTTAATTCAAAAATTATTGTATGCACTTTATATAAAGATAAATCCCACAAGTGCATATAAAGAATATCAAAAGACTGCATTGGAATGGTTAGTTTCACTGATTAGGTTAGGGTAAAGTCTTGGGTAAATTCCTAATTTAGTTAAAATTAGATAAAAATCCCTAAAAAATCTAAATTTCCTTCTGACATAGAGTGCATTTTTGCTGTAAAAGAAGTAATTAAAAATGCAAAAGAGCTATTTAGATGGATTGCTTCTTATTCTTATATTTAATTTAGATTCATCTGTCGCTATAGCATACATTTTTTTGGTTAAAATCATAGTAGTAATAATCAAAAGTTACATCTTGCAGGTTAGAATTATATTACCATTGATCTGTGACAAAAAAAATCTTATTTAAATTTTTTAAAATTCACTACTGTAATGCAGTTGTAGTTAAAATCTTGCACTGAGCTTGACGTGACCATTTTGAAGGTTTTCTTTTGTTCATTTAACACCACCTCCCTAATTCCAATAGTGGTTGGACTTATACTATTTAATAGATTAAATAAACAAAGCTATTCAACTTTCCCTTAGAGAATCAGGAATTTTTTGTCGAAACACCCATGCAAACATGGCTGGTGTAAAAGCAATGCTTACACCATGTGTGTGATTATTTTTTGGTACTTTTTATGATGGTAACTTTCAGGTTAAAATTGTTCATAGGGTATTGTCTTCATATTAATGCAAGCTTGCGCTCTAATATATTAAAGTTTCTGTCTTCTACTAATTAATGTATTATTTTACTTCCAGGTTAAAGTTGTTGTTTTCACAGAGATCACTTGAAGACCCCCATCACTGCCGCTCTTAAAATGAATGTGCAGGAGGAATAATGACATGCCAGGACAATGACTGGTCAACATTTTACTTCAGGTAAATCCAGTCCTTTTTAAAAAAAAAATTTTTTGGTTTTATTTTTTTACATTTTAAATTGATGCTTGATTTATCACACTGAGTAATAATCTTGAGGTAACTTGCCATTATTGGGATCTTGGAAATTTATTCCCAATGGATCATAAGCCAACCACAATCTTAGTTTTGCCCAGGAAAACCCTGAAAAAGTGTGTAATCTGCTTATTACTGTACTCTTTCAGTTTTGGCTGGGAAATTATTTGAAAGCTTTTCATCGAAACCTTAAAAATAATTGCTTATTAAAAAGACTTTAAAACTATTAAACATTCTGTGTTATGTATAACAGCGACTCACTTCACTTTTCTACATATATATACGGTAAATACACTGAACAGAATCGGTCATATGCTCACACACAGACACAATCTTATTGTTTTCTATAATAGAATCAATGTACCTGGTGAAAACCTCCTGTGACTGACTCAAAGGCCCACTTGTACCATTGAAATATTTTTTGTGTAAATAGGCCTTTGAATAGGGATCTACAGTACATGCTGATTTTTTATTTATAGCCATATCTAGACTTAATTATGTGTTGATCATTCTTAAACATCATCCAAAAATTCAAATCAAATAATTATAATAATAAGTATGCCGCTAAATGGGAGAAATGGAGATAGATAAACAGATCAATTTGTTAATGCTGATCATTAGTAGGGCCCTGGCCTGTTTCACCACATCCTTCCATTCAGACATCATTATCATAGGTGCTACAGCCCATCATAAGAGCCTGGTCTGCTCGTCTGCTCTACAACATCCTCCCTTTTAAGCTGATCCATGACTTTACACTTCCAGGTGATTTTAGTCCTTTACAACTCAATCCATATCAGTCTTGGTCGACGGATGAGCCGTTAACCCCTAGGCTTCTGTCTGTAGATCACTTTTGCCGCTCTACAATCTAATATCCTCTCAAGGTTTCTTGCCCAAAGCAGCCTGCACCTTTAAATTGCAGCAACTACGGATGGTTCCGGTATTGAAAATGTTCATTAGGGAATTGCATCAGCGGGCTGTCGAGCTAGTACATTAGCTCTTTATGCCCTCCCCAAAGCACACACACCCTCACTCCCCAAGCCTGAGTTGCATCAGCGGGCTGTCGAGCTAGTACATTAGCTCTTTATGCCCTCCCCAAAGCACACACACCCTCACTCCCCAAGCCTGAGTTATCGGGCTGGGAAGCGGAACGTTGGAGATTTCCCTTTGCCAGGACAGCCCCAGCCTGCACTCACTCCATCGAGTACCAGTGGAGGTCACCCCAGCACAAGGACATCCGGTAGGCTGGTGGCGCTTCTGTCACAGCATCAGGAGTCGGGATGGTGTATTTACATCTTAAAATCT